TATTTTCTCATACCCAGAATCCTCTAAAAAGGGGCTGCAACAGATCTGATTCAGACTGATCCACAGATTTGAACACTTCTATGACGTCAACAGAAGTGGAGCGACAGGCTATTGGGCCAACTCACCAATCAGGCGAGAAGCACGGACATTGCCGTTCAAAGCGTGGAGAGCCTGTATACATATGCCAGGTCTGTAGAGTGGTGCTGTTCTCAACAAGAATCAGCCATGCAAAGACAGTGTTAAATTGAGCGAAATGAGGAATGGCTAAAATGCATAATCTGTTTGGTATTTTTAAAAATAAAAAGTATAAATATGCCTTTTATATAGGCATGGTCCTACACTATATTATTCAAATATAGCATGATCGGTCCACTTTAACAAACACTTGCTTATTTATTGATACAGCAGCAATCAATATTCACAATTATGTAGTGTCTCTTTTGTTTTGTGGCCTGATGGATTAAAGTCACCCAAGACTCACCATCCTTTTAGCTCTGATCTGCTCTCAACCACCGTGTGAAGGAAATATGTAACCATTCAGCTGCTAAATGCTAAGCTATGTTTAACAGCTGCTAACTATGTCTGTTTGCAACTTGGTGCTGATCAGATATAGCAAACACTTTGGCCAGCTTGTCTAGATATGACCAACAAAAACAGTAGAGTTGCAAGTCATTAGGGAAAAACAAAGGGCTGAAATGTGAAAAGCTCTGCAATGCTGACAGGAATGTGAGGGTTTGATGGGCTTGACTGAGTGACAACTTTCTTTTCACACAAATGTATTGGAGCCATTCATCACAATATTTCAGATTACAGTATAGAGAGGATGGACAAAACAACAGGAGCAACATACAATCATGATTTATAGCTATATTGCACGACATCACGAGGGTGTTACATCGGCTCAGGCTGTTCTCATAAACTGTTCACAGCTATACCAATGGAGAGAAATGCACTGCACATTCATATCCAACAAAAAAAGAGTTGCTTGGATCCGTGTAATTGTAAACCAGATTATTAAAGAGCAACCAAGTTCACAAAGGCAGGCTTTCACAGATAACTGTCCTTTGGGAAAACAGAATTTATCTATTTGTCACAACACAACTTCCGTAGTTATTTTAACTTCCGGTAAGCTAATGGAGTAGTTTTGATGCCTTAATCAACCTAGGGCAGGGGTGTCAAACTCAAGGCCCGGGGGCCAAATCCGGCCCGCGACTTAATTTAATGCAGCCCCACAAGAGCTCTGAAAGAATATTATACGTTTATTATACGGTTACATGTCGATTTACAGAAGCACGTTGCCCATAAACTACATGTCCCACAATGCATCTCAAATATGAATTTAGTTTAGGATTTGACTTTTTTCTCAGAAGTTGACTTTTTTGCTTCAAAATTTCATTTTTTTTTACATTTCCAGAATTTCATTTTTTTTTTTTAAAAGACATTTTGTGACATCAGCACTGAAGAGACTTCCAATTATTTGCCCTAGACTTCTGCTTTCAGATGTAATTAATTATGAAGTTATTACCCTATCCCATAATAATCCAATGCAGGGGCAATAATGTAATATTATACATTATTTTATATATATTAAATATTTATATACGTATTTTTATATAGTCTTGAAGTTACAACCGGCCCTTTGAGTGCAACCCTAACGCTGATGTGGCCCGTGATGAAATTGAGTTTGACACGGCTGACCTAGGGTTATGTGAAGACGGAGATCATTTTTAGAAAAATACATCATGCATGTTGCAAACAAGAAATGCACACATGTTGCTGAACATTCACAGGAGAATGCAAGGAAAACGTAAGTAAATTCAAGGTTCAAGGCCTTTATTTGTCATACATACATACATACATACATACGTACATAGCTACAGTGTAGTTATGTCTATGAAAATCTTAGGTCACAGGCTCCTCCAACAGTGCAACACAATAAAACAGAAAAAATAGTGCAAGTAAATACAAAAAGAAAAATAATTGAATAGTGAAATATTGTTATTTTTCTTTTTGTATTTACTTGCACTATTTTTTCTGTTTTATTGTGTTGCACTGTTGGAGGAGCCTGTGACCTAAGATTNTTTCATTGGTCCCTCTTCTTTAGAGAAGACCAGGAAATGATGGATACACGGATCGTGTTCAAATCAATAGGCACGCAATGACTCTAAATAATAATGATCACGCCACCAAACACACATTCAGACTAAAGGAACCAGCCTGTTTGGAAAATGAGAGAAGTAGAAAGTACAGGTATTTGTGTTCAACATGTAAGAAGTAGAAAGTACAGGTATTTGGGTTCAACATGTAAGAAGTAGAAAGTACAGGTATTTGAGTTCAACATGTAAGAAGTAGAAAGTACAGGTATTTGTGTTCAAAATGTAAGAAGTTGAAGTAAAAAGTTGTCAGAAAAATAAGTAGTGGAGTAAAGTACTGATACCAGAACAATGTACTTAAGAACAGTAACAAAGTATTTGTACTCCACTACTTCCCACCTCTGCAAATCAGAGCAAAGGGAAACCTGCAGGAAAGTGGTTCTCTACCTATGTGTCAGTCATAGGGCGTCTTAAGCACATACAGTAAGCACATAAGCGTCTTTGGGTCTAGAAAAGCGCTATATAAATCCCATTTATTATTATTATTATTATTATTATAGGCTTTATATAAAGAAATGGACCTCACCCGTTGGATTTGGAGCCTTTTGTTGGTTGCCATCTTTTGTTTTTAGCCATCGTCGTCTTGGATTTTTGGAACCTGAACTGGTATTAAGCGACCAAAATGTTAATATTAATGAAGTGAAAACCCCCTCTCAAAGGAGTTAGGCTGTGAAAGTCAATCAGAAGGTAGCATGGCACCAAACCAATAATGTATTCTGTCCATTTCACACTCAATTGGACCATAATTGAAAATGTTCTGTATTAAAACAAATATTTAAACTAATGAGAAGGAATAAAACATCATTACGATCCAAAATGTTTCCCAATGTAAAAACCCAAACCAAGAGCGTTAGATGTTATCTATAAAGCTTTTGAGCTTAACTTGCATCCTCAATTTAACGAATTCAAAGATTTATTGAGGGCATCTTCATGATCAAAACAAATAAAACAGCTTTTCTGAGCTGACACAATACGGGGTGACCAAAATCACTAAATATTCTCTGTTGTATACTCTTACTTTAATACATTTCAATAGATCAAAGCAGTCATTACATTTGGCCTTTTCCCACCAAATAATCAAAGCCTCTAAGCAGATGTTTGCCAGATTTCATTGCTGTCTAAGCTCTCCTGGTATGCCTATAAAATCTAAATGGAAAAATCCACTTTGAACACACAAATGTCTGTTTTGTGACCTTCATATCTGAATAAATGTCTTCAATTATCTTTTGACTAACTGCTGTCACACCTGCTGCTTTATTGTCACTGTTGCTCTGCCTTTGTTGGTCCATTTATATCGTTATTCTCTCCTAACTCTCTCTTTCTCTTTCGGGATCCCAAAGCTCTCCTTTTCTTCAATTCATTAGCTCTGACAAACATCACAAAAACCTCATTTAGTGTGAAAAACAATGAGGAATTCACGCTGGATTGCTCATGCATAATATCTGCGTCTGCCACTCTGAATTAGTAAAAAAAAAGAAGAATGGAAATTGATTCCTTTGTTGGGAGCTTTTGCTGCTTTAATGAGCAGAGCCAACCTCGCCTGGCGGGTAAAATGAAACTGATCGGAAAGATTAGATAATATAATAAACACACAGGGGGTATTTTAAGAAGCAGTTACTTTGACAGACATATCCTGTAAAGTGGAAATAGTTCTCAAGCTGTGTTAGCGATTACTTGAGTTGTCTAAAAACTAAATATATTCATCAAGATACCAAAAGCCTTTATCACTGTAATTACATAAATCTGTGGTCTGGGTGACTTCCTCTAATGTCGATGGACATGGATCCAATTACCCCACAGGCTGTTACATGAGATCATCTCCATACCCGGTCACTTGCAACGTGTTTTAACATTGAGTTTCATGTCAAAGCAGTAATTTCTTGCATATGGGAACTCTTGATGTGATCCTTTGTTCCATTATGCAATCATAAGAAGGCCAGGCTCTTTTTTTTAAACACAGAAATGTTTCCTCACAATTTCTTTGATGGAATGACTTGGAAGTGAGTCAGCATTTTAGCACTTCTTGTCTCAAAGTCAATGGTTTTTTCGTTTGTTATCCTGTAATAAGGTCTGGGGTTAACACAAGCTAAAGCGATTTATTCTACGTTATAAAATACGTCAATAAATACCTGACCGGTAAATTTAACAATGGTGGTTGCTAAAGACTGTCTAAATGAGACGACTAAACGTCATCAAGCCCAACATTAGCCGCCTTTAGCTTAGCGGTGGTGACGTGAAGTTATGTGACCGTGCTGTAGTTCCTTTATAGCCCAACATTAGCCACCTTTAGCTTAGCGGTGGTGACGTGAAGTCATGTGACCGTGCTGTAGTTCCTTTATAGCCCAACATTAGCCTCCTTTAGCTTAGCGGTGGTGACGTGAAGTCATGTGACCGTGCTGTAGTTCCTTTATAGCCCAACATTAGCCACCTTTAGCTTAGCGGTGGTGACGTGAAGTCATGTGACCGTGCTGTAGTTCCTTTATAGCCCAACATTAGCCTCCTTTAGCTTAGCGGTGGTGACGTGAAGTCATGTGACCCTGCTGTAGTTCCTTTATACAACATTCGCATTTTACTTAAAAAAATCATAAGGTGGGGTTGATATGTGGAGATTATCCTGCTGAACAAAACATGTAAGTATTATAAAAGTATTATTTTCTCCAATAATCCAATGGAAAAATCACATTGGAGGGAACCAGGGAGATGGAGCCTTCAGGGTCAACTACAGAAATACGCCATCCCTGCAGCACTGTATTGCTAACCTTCTCCAAAGAACATTGTGGTTTTCTTTAACCCCTCTGTTTAGTTTTGTGTTGTTTCATGATAATAATTATTGACATTTACTTTTAGGTAAACTGTGGTCCAGGACTGTGAAGGTGGCCTTCAACCTGCTGCACAAACTGGGAACCAAACAGGAACCCCTCGTCAGACCTGGAGACCGGGTACGTAAAAAGGTTATGAAATAAAACTGATGGATTGAGATGGAGGGAACCAGAAAAAATGAAGACAAATGTTGGTGTCTAATGGTTGAATGCTTGAAGGTTCGACAGAAAACTTTTGACTTGTGATGTAACTGCTTTAAGACTTTAAAAACTAAAGACCTGGCTGACTTGACTTTAGACTTGAAAGTAAAGACATTCAATTTAACTTAAATGGGACCTATCATGCAAAATGCACTTTGTGATGTCTTTTATAAATAAACATGTGTCCCCGGTGCGTCGGGGAACTCACGCAGCGTCAGAAAATTAAACCCTCTCTCTTTTCCTCCGTACCCAAATCTTTTAAAAACGGGGAACAACGAGCGGATACAGATTTCATCCGATCTGACGTCAAATCGGCGGCGGAGCCACAGAGAGTTGCTATTAGAAACAATGCCTGACGTGTTTTGGACGTAATCTCGTCTTTGTTTACATTAGCAAGCCTCGCTAACACTCAGAGCTAACCTGTACTGTAGAGCACATGTGTTTAAAAAGCAGGAAATAAAAAAAGTAACTCACCTTGTGATAAACCCACAAGAAAAAAAACGCATTTGAGCACCATACTGTTTCAGAAATAATCCTTGATGTGGTTTAGAACAGGATGGTGTTTTACCACAACATAATTTAATTTAGCAACATTAGCTCCGCCTCCTCTTTTTTATTTTTTTCAAGTTAAGGACCCAACATCTGCGTTTCTCTAACAGGGCTGCAAAAGAGATATGAGGCATGGCTACAATGGGTGATCTGTTTGGTATTTGGAAAAAAAACTTCACAGACATGTTTTGTATAGGTATGGCCCTACAATATATTTTTCAAATATAGCATGATAGGTCCACTTTAAATGTTGACCTCTTAAAATGTTGAACAAATGTTTAATTTAAAGAGAATTGGGCAGAAAAGAAGACAGAGAAGAGAAAGAGACTGGGTCATTTAAAACACAGACTTTCAGTTCTTAATTCTTCAAATATATGAATACAGAAATACTTTCAGGACTGCGGTACCTTATTTTACTTAACATTTTTTTATTTGAATTAATAACTTCAAGATTTCTACCTTGCAATATTGTGCAGATGTTGGAAGTCTTTTCTGCTTTGCCTTTTCATTCCGTAGTGAAACAAAATCCACAAAATGTGTCTCTGTTGCTAACAAACTGAGTAAAACATATTTAAAAACATAATGAAAGCAGAGGCTGACGAAAACAAAAAAATAAGAGAAAGCTGATTTTTTGTTATTCGGGTAAAAGGACTATTTAACAACTCTCTTTGCTCCCGTCTTGCATTAAAACATCGAGTAAAATAACCAAAAAAAAATGCGCTTTACTGACATCACCTCTCAAGAGTTTTGGGTACCGGCCAAAACAATCCCCGGCCGGCACATGGCCATGACTCCATGTTTTAAAAATGGACACATGTGTAACCCATCCTTCCTCTCCTGTCAGTATAATCATCACATCGCACTCAACACATGAAACAGAGGATCACAGCGAAGTGGAAAAAGATTCAGTAATAGTCCCACATGTGTCTGCTCTCCTTCTTTCATCTGTATTTAAAGCTCCATTTCCAGTAAAACAAATGGCACCATGCCACTGTGTGTGTTATTTGTCTGCATCTCAGCCAGAAGGGTGTGTGTTTTAATTACTGTACAATTCCTTTTTTCTTCTGTGTCATTAGAGACTTGCTGGATAACAATGTGCAGCGTTTTGGATATTTGTTTTAGGGGTTGGTCGGGACCAAAATCAGAGCTAAACGTAGAGTGTAATTCAGAAAAATCTGTTTAAAAGGACATATTCTGCTCATTTTCAGGTTCATATCAGTATGTAGTATCTCTACTTTAAAGAGTCCTCTCCTGCTGATGTTCAGGTGTATATCAGTATGTA